TATATGAGCGTTTTCGCTTTCGTTCTCATTATCAACGTTGCTGTCCTATTCCCTGGGTTAATGTTGTTACAACCCCTCCGATTGTGGTCTGTTCTTCATTCGGAACAAGACGCCGTCACCCCAAGACAGCGTTTCCGAGGTACGGCTCCTGACCCGATTTCGATTGCATTAAATTTATCTCGTTGACTAGCTGTATATCCGACAACTTACGATGCTTCTTATGCTGCAAGTGCTTGTGTACTATCCATGGTTTTTGCATCGGCATTTTGTCTCATTTTCCCTTTGATCGGGCCGGCTATTGTGATTCTTCTGTTTTTGGCTCTTGTTGGTGCGTCGTTTTGTGCCTTACCATTCCGCAGAGTGAAATGACCGCTCCATAGCTCATAGATATCTCATTGGATATGTTTATGCCCGAACTCTTTCGGAGACTGGGGGGCTTCTCCAGATTTGGTTGCTGAAGCGATTGGGTACACTCCTTGCGCTACAGCCTCTACTCCTCGGTTTAATTTTGCTCAGTCGGCGGCTCTGGATAGAGGGAGGAATACTTGTGGGCATAGCTCTCGTTGTGGTGGGGATAGTAGAAGTGTACACCATGCACAAAACGAGGCTTGCAAGCCTCCAAGCGTTACCTGAGAGCACCCAAGAGTCTCTTAGATTGTTTCGCAGGGCGTTGGAATCAGATAATCGTACTGATACCGATGACGAGAATCGCAGCATGATCACCGCTAGAGGGAACCGCCCAAGGGGCTCGATGGCTTCTGTCCTCGAAATGATGTCTCTCACGTTAGCAGTTATGCCATCAGCTTCAAATCATCGTGGTCCTCTACCACTTCGTACGCACATTTGTTTGAAGCATCATCAAAGTACTGATATAGTCTTATAGGAACGGAAACTCTGGATGATCTAATTGCTACAGAGCGAGCTGCCAGGACGCATCCTGATGCTCCTCCGCACCTTCCTGCGTTATCCTTTGGGGACCATGCCGAAGAGATGTCAAGTATCATGTATCCGCCTGAGTTGCTTGCCCCAGCACCGATCATCTGGCTTCCGAACGATACAGCCGGGGTGGCCAAAATGGAGGCAATTGACTTGCGGAAATATCACGATATACACGTTACCCTTGACGTCCATGCTAGGGATGTCATCCTGCCTAAACGGAGTACATCCACACGAACACACGCGTGACGCGTTGCTCGTGCTTTCTCTTGGCTAACATCCGTTTCACATTTCCGCCATCCTCGAACCTTTTGATGTGGCATTGGTGGACTCATGTTACTTTATAGATCGTACTTACTCCACTACCGTATATCAACATCCAAGGCGACTTTCATGAACTTTATTCTCCAGACGTGGGATAGGAGTACGACGGTGCTCGGAGTTTTCGCTCAAACCGCCTACACAGCTGAAAAGTGTGCGGGTTTCTAAAGTATTTCTAGGGTTTTTCACTACCATCCTTGAGCCTTGTTGAACGTTTAACCCTGAATCAACCTTCAAAGCTTCAATTTCCGGACAATTGATAGAACCCCTATGGTGCCTGGTGATATCCGCTCAGCACCGGGCCCAGTGGTAGGGAATCTAGAGAGTAATCGCAGCGGCGATTACGCTTGCAGAGGTAGTGACTGATTTAGCAGCTGACCCAACCTGACTTCACAACCAGCTTAACTGTTTATGCCGGTTCAGGGAGATCCGGATTTTAAGTTTGAGCGACCAATTAAATCTTGTGAGTTCCTTTACATCACTAGAATTCCCTTGCACTAGTACAGAAAAAATGAAATTGAATGTTTTGATACTCGTGGGCCGCGGAGGTACAACGGTGCTATGTATACTAAAAGATGAGTGACCCGTGTTCTGTTGCGAAATGAATCAAGTGAAATAGGAACACAGGAAAAATAAGACGAGCACCAATGTGTAAAGTACTCCAACATCTGACGTGATGCAAAACCGGGGTACAAATAGTGTGAGATCATAATTTTTCGAAGTGACCCTCCTTATTAAAGTTGAGTAACTGCAGGTATCACAGATTCAAAAAATGCTTTATCTGAGACAGTATCTTCCTTTCTTTAAGCCCCGTTGCCCTGAAGGGATAGTGTCGCAGGTGATTGTGTCCTGGCCTTGCCACGTGAGTTTAACGACACAGAGAATAAATGGAGGTTGCAAGGTGTCACTAATACCGCGGGGACATTGAAGGTCTGTGACCAATTGCGTGCAAGCAGTTGTGGAGCGTTGGGGCGGCCCAATTGATCCGAATGGTTCGCAACGCCCTCATGACTTTCAACGTATATATTTCCCTATCCGTAGGCTCGTAGTGTCCGTTTTTCAGTTTCTCACTCGCCCGCTTCCCTGTTCTTCCTGATTCTGCCATCAGTGTCTATGTCTATGTGCAGTTCAATCTCTAGTGTTCAACAGGATCCACTGATATCATACTCCAAGACTCTGCATGACTATACTCTCGAACTGTGGACGGAGTCCAGGAGAGTTGCAGAAGAGAAAGCAAGGCGCAAACTGGCTCGAACGGAGGAAGAGGCACGAAAACAATCTCGCAACTCACCCACCACTCAGCGACCCCATGGTCCTTGAAAGGACACCATACCCTTTTTCTTACTCACAGTGGAGATCAGTAGCGGTTCGTATTCCAAACTTGTTGTGCTTAGCATACACTGAACACGTCTCACTACTTCCAAGATAGCCCAACCAGTGCCGTATCCATGACCTTCCCCTGCGACGTCGTATCCCCCGTACATCGGCATTCTTCTGTATTATCACACACCAGAGCCCACCAGTCGGCTTCAGTTCGCTCTTCGTGCTCCACCTCGGATCAAGTGAACATGTAATATATATGTTCGTCTGTTTTCTTGTAGCTTGATAACAGCTGACCTCTTTACTAGACTTTGATGGATTTTAGTTATTTTATTTTCACCATTCTGACGACGCAACCCTGTAAGCTCAATTGGACACGTTTATAAACACCACCTTTTACCTGTTTCGTTTTACACGATCCTCGTGTAATACTAATGTGTTCAATGTCCGCACACCGAATCCAGAGGTTCTAACGGTTTGCGAGTTACTCAGGTTCGGCTCTTCCCCAGAATGAAATAGGGTCAATGTGAGCAAGGCTTTCATTTGAGCACTCACAACAAAGGTATAATTGATATCGGAATTGATCTATATCAACTTCGATGTAGTGGAAATTACGAGCAGAATCGGCAGTAAAAATCACTCGCCTTCGAAATTGTCCTCATTGCATCTGATTTACTCCACATTGTGATAACGGCTGTCTGTCACCGGAACAATTCGTTCGGCGTCTTGCGAATCGGAATTAGGCGCATTTGACGTGTTGGATTCCTTCACACGTATCGTCCCCAACCCCAAAAATGAGCTAAGTAACAAATGTTATGGCCTCTACCGTACATAGTACGTCTCTGCATAGTGCGAAGCACGCTTGCTGATCCTGACATCATACAGGGACGAAAGACACGAAACGATCGTTCCCAAATTTAGCCGTTCCTTTTAGAATTGCCAAACTTCGTGGGCATGACGGCACTTGCGACGTCACGCCTCGTCACGTTTTGATGACGTTGAAACCGTTGAACTCACAAGCTGCTGTATATAGTTGCTGCATAACCCTGTAAAGTCCCCTCCCTTCTTATCTCGGTGAACCAACCATTTTCTCAATAGCGTTGTGCGGTTATAGCAGCCCTGGCCCGCTGGCGATGTATTCCGAACCTCTCACCTTATTAGATTGGTCTAACTGCTACCTCTGTGCAGCCTGAATCACTCATTCATTGGGCATGGTACAGCACATTTGAAATGATTCAATTCCCATTTATTTATTGGATATGAGGCTGGCAGGAGATCAATACTATCACAACTGTGGTACTTGTCATCAGGTGAAAATGGTCAAGTTTGTCAAGCTTAGTGATGTGTGGGCCCAGCTCAGCCTGAAAGCCCCAGCTTAGGCCTGGCTTTGGGGGGCTTGGGCTTTGCAAAAGCTCAGGCTGAGCTGTGAGCTCAAGCCAGGCCGAAGCTGTGGCTCAGCTTGGGCTCAACGACGGCTTTCAAGAACAAAATGATCTAAAATTCAATCTAAGCATATTTGTAACAGTGAGATACTAAAAGAACCAGATGAGCAAGACATGGATGTCAGTATCATGTGTAGAGTCTTAGACATTTGCGAAGCAGTACTTGAAGCAGGATGACAGAGCCCAAAGAACCATCTGCAGCAGCTCACTCCTGTATACACAAAGTCTTCTGCTCCGCCAGTTAGACTGTGTTTGGATTGGTTGTGCTTGAGATGGTTGGGCCCCTGTTGGTTGACCTGATTGTGTTGCACTGTTGGTCTTGAATGGCCGATCTCAGTGTCTTCTCGAGTCAACACTGACATATAGGTAAATGTCAGTGGGCGTACACAAGGAGGGGACATTCATATTGTTTGCACTGATGACTTATCGCGCATGTATTTCCATGGCATTTGTATGTTTGGCATGATATATGTAGACTGGTGACCAGCCCGTCTATGAGGCAAACCATCAATAGATGGACTGGTAAAACTGGGTTTGAATTTGGATCAAGCGCGGATTCTCAGGATAATGTGATGTATAAACCTTTTTTGGAATAGCAAAACCACGTGAACTTTTGCTAAGGCCTTTGCAAGTATCGCTAAGTTTGATCGACGTGCGTGCTGTAACGTTCGACACAATAATGTTTTAACATTCATATCAGACTCATTCCATCACTTCATGTATATTTATTCTGCTTTCTGTATTCAATCTGCTACTTGAAGGATGCCAGTCTCTTCGACAGTTCTCAATGAAAACTTTAATCAATCTGTTGACTCTGGTTTCGTAGACATTACGACAGGTCTCCCTGCAGCTGCTGCAGCAACTCCGTCGCGTCTCTCACCTCACGAACACGTGAAATCTGTTGTCAAGATCCTCAGAGAAGGCCACATGTCGATCCTGGACTTTATCCTTTGAATTCTCGACCCATCACAACCTGACTTCATGTACAACCGTGACTGGATATACAACCCTTCTAAAGTGGAGAAAGAGAACTCTGGTGACGGACAGCGTGTATCGGGAAAGCTAGAGCAAATGTTTGACCGTTTGTTTGCGGACTCACAGGGTCGAGCCCATATGCTAGAGTGGTTTCATCCTCACACGGTCGCTTACATATCCCTCACTGTCAGCAATGAGATGGACGCAGTAAAGGAGGCTCTCTGTGGGACACTCAATTCTGTGATGCTGCAGTTCCTCTCAACGTGGGACCTCAGCACTACTATACAAGACAAGGTTGCACTGAAAGCACTGATCTTACAGCATATCCTCCGCTGTGCTGCTCAGATGGAATGCGCTATCGAAAGAACAGGATCAAGGACAGCAGTACTGTATGATACACTACATCCTTTGTATTATTCCATCTTTTGAATTAATGATTCTTGACTTCTAGAAGGTGTGCATCCCTGTATCAGTGATTGCTGGTCCATTGATTTTGCAGCACATATGAGGACGTGTCGCGTCAATTAGTGAAAATTATATTGTTTATTTTGTATTCTACAATACTTGTTGAAAAACCCTAGTTCTTTTATTGGCTAGAGGTCACGTTCTCCTGAGAATCCGCGCTTGATCCAAATTCAAACCCAGTTTTACCAGTCCGTCTATTGACAGTTTGCCTCATAGACGGGCTGGTCACCAGTCTATGATATATGTGTGATTATATAAAGCGCTGAGAACAATGGCCGACTTGAGAATGTTAGCAGGAGAGTCTGTACATGCTAAAGAAGTGAGCAACATCAAGGTCAGTCATCAGCAAAACTGCTGAAAGGATGTGCAACAAAGTGGGAACACCAGCAAGTTTAAATGCCTGCAGGACAGACAGAGTTAAGGACAACTTACAGGAGAATGTGCTCGTGCCATTCCACAACAGTCTGGTCCATGTTTACAGATTTATTGCTTGTCTGTTACGGACTTGGATAGGTCTTCTCAGCGACAGCTCGAATGAGCCCACCGAGGCTGAGGGTGTTCGGCGACTTGACGGAATGTCAAGGGTTCCTCCGGTTATCTTGGTAAGACGGTGCTCGTCGAGATACAGGACTAGCGGATACGGCTAAGGCGCGGTGAGCGACTTAGGAGTGTGGTCTAGACAGCTAAGCTGAGAGGCTTAGTTGAACAGGTTTCAAGGGAAAACCAAGTAGATTAAAGTAAAGATCTCAGTACAATAATCTGTCTACTTATACATGCTATGTACAAGGGTTCAAGCTCAGTCTGTATCTAATAGTATATCTGTGGATCTATGCTATCAATGATAGCGGTACATGAGGACAGTCATGAGGACAGATAAGATACATGAGGCTTAACCTCTGATCAACCATGAGGCGCCAAGTGCGCTCCGGATCTACATGAAGCGGCATGAGGTATACATGCACTGATCTAGGGTGTCCATGAGGTGCACAGCCTCCATGGATCAGGTACAAGGCCTTCTAGGCCAGGGGCGGTGTCCCAGCGGTCTGGACTGCTGTTGTTCTAAGTTCTGGCGGCGTGCCGCTGCGTCGGGAGTCTAGCAGAGCGGGGGCTCTTGTTGATGTTGCAGTAGACTGTGACATTGTCTGGTATTCAGTGCTGTCAGCCTTGACAATTGCATGGAAGTCAGTGGGGATCTGTCGGAGACCAAGAGTGAGATCTGTTGAGGGAAATGATCATTACAAGCCGAGCGGAGATAGATATCACGTACCAGTAATGACAACTCCACTGAGGTGCATCTCTCCCGGGTCCTGAGTGTGTTCTGAATAGCTTATTGACGTTGTCTATGATCCAATAGTGGAAGCTGTGCTCTGTGGTGGATATGAGATTTCAAGTTAGAGTAAGGACAACTAGTGCTGCCGAAGTCCGGTTCGGTCCGGTTCTTAGGGCAAATTTTCCAAACGCCGAACTGAACCAAAGGTTCGGTTCAGCCATTTGGTCGAACCCTGGACCAAACATCACCGAATGTGTTCAGGAGGTCCAGTTCACGTTCGAACCAGGTTCGACTTGTGTAATCGGCCCAAAGCTGGGGCTTAGGCCCATGCAAGCTGCGGCCCACATGCTGAATTGTGTGTAATTGATGTCCAAGCTCCACCATGCTGTTCCCAACACCACAAACCCCATGCGCAAATGCCCAGCATGTAGAAGTATGTAGACTTTAGAATAGGAGTTATGAATATTATTTGGACTGACTTTTATTCTAAATATCACTACAGTATATATACTATGGTACGCTAATTGTAAGTATCCGGTCCGTGTATGTGTAAGCACGGACTTGTCTATGGTCCGCGCTATTGCTGACAAAACAATGTCCGTCTCGGACATTACCGGCTATTAGTCGTTCCCTACATCATTCATTCTTGTACGTATTACTAAGCTTTCTCTCCTGTGCTCGTACCTTCATTACTATGCGCTAACTCTAACACTCCCCCTCGAGCACAGCTTACTTTCATCCCAGTCTCTCAATTTCTCCAATCTCGGCTTTGGCAGTGCTTTTGTGAAAGCGTCCGCGAGGTTATCGTCTGTCGGTACGTACTCCAATCTAATTGTACTGTTTTCGATTACTGACCAAATAAAATGATAGCGTATGTTGATGTGTTTCGTTTGAGCGTGGAACTTGTTGTTCGTGGCGAGTGCAATAGCGCCTTGATTATCGGAATAGATGGTGATAGGTGTGTCTTTCCTTTTATAAAGCTCTTTCAGCAATGACTGAAGGTATAGCACTTCTCTTGTTGCAGACGTTAACGCGATGTATTCGGCTTCGGCTGTCGACAACGCTATGATCGTTTGTTTCCTCGCGCTCTGAGCTATCGGCGATCCGTGCAGCAGGACTAGGTATCCCGATATAGAGTGTCTGTGGGCTTGGCTTGCCCAATCTGCGTCCGCATATGCCTCTAGGTCCTTTTCCTTTCCTCCCAAGGTAAGCTTTGCCTTCTTTGTTGCCTTCAGATAGCGGATTACACGCTTTGCTGCTTCCCAGTGCGACTTCGCCGGTGCTCGCATGAATTGCGACAGTACTGACACTGCTAGTGCTATGTCCGGCCTAGTACAAGTTGCCGCGTACATTAGCGATCCAATCGCTCTCTGGTACGGTATGTGTTGTTCGGATATTTCAGATTTGGTGCCTGGCGAATGGTCTGACTGTTCTTTCGTCAGCTGTATTCCTGTCTCCATAGGAATGTGCGCTGGCTTTGCGTCTTTGAGGCGAAAATGTTCGACAATGGTGTCGACATACGCTTCTTGCGATAGCATTATGGTTCGCGCGCTTCGGTCTCTCTCTATTTTGAGACCCAGTAACCAGGTAAGCTCTCCCAGATCTGTTATCTCGAATTTTTGGCGCAACTGATCTTTGAACTTCTGTATATGTTCTAGATGCTTCGACATTACGGCCATGTCGTCAACCGATACCGTTATGATGGTGTGCTCATCCTGCTCCCTTCAATAGTACACTGCTCGATCGACTTGCGAGTGTGTATATCCGGCTTTGAGGAAAAATTCTTCTAGCTCCTCGGACCATTTGAACCCGGCTTGCTTTAGGCCATACAAACTTCTCAGCAGCTTCAAGACCTTTCCCTCGTCTCCTTTCTTCAAATATCCAGGCGGTGCCCGCATATACACATCATCCTTTAGCGTGGCATTGAGGTAAGCACTTTTTATATCCACTTGGTGCATCTCCCAATCGTTTCTTGCAGCCATCGATAGGACCGTGTGTATGGTCGTCATATTGGAGGTGGGTGCGAAGGTTTCTTGGTAATCTATTCCGTATTCCTGTCGCTGACTGTTTGCTACTAGACATGCCTGGAGTTTTATCTTCTCTCTGTTCAGACCTCTCTTGGTTGCCAGTACGAAGTGGCATGGTGTAACGTTCGCGTCTCTAGGTGGGTCTATGATCTCCCATGTTCCTAGTTTCTCTAACTGACTGATTTCATAGTCCATGGCTTTTTGCCATTCCTCTGTGTCTGGACCGTTTAACGCTTCTCTTTAGCATCGGTTCCTTCTCTGCGGCTGCCATGGCCATATACGCAAAGGAGTTCGGTTGGGTATCGTCTGGTGAGTTTTCCATTGCTACGGTTGCTCTTTCTCCTTCGTTTAACACTTTGTAGTATCCTGCAGGGGGTCGTACTCTCGTGGCTTTGGGCGTTATGGGATCCGGGAGTTTCTGTATACTCTGGGGTGGCGTTTTGGGAGGTTGGTTAGGTGTTTGGGGAACTTGGGACGTTGTTGGAAGTTGTGTGTGTACCAGTACATTCTGGATGTTACTGTTTTCGGGAGGTGTTAGCCTAGACTCCCCCTCGTCCAGTATGTCGTCGTCTATGTTGATTTTCACCGGCACAAAGCTAACGTTTCTCTCAATAGAAACTCGTCGCTTTCCCGGCCAATACGTCCGATATCCTTTGCTCTCTTCATTGACACCAACAAACAAGGCTTCTTCGGCTTTGGCTTCCAACTTTCCGTTATCTGGTACGTGTACATACATCCGTTGTCCAAATTCGTGCGCTGCGGCTAAATTTGATTTAGACTTATGCATTAATTCAAACGATGTTTGTCCTGGAATGGCCTTTGAAGGTAAGCGGTTTTTTAGCCATGTAGCGTAACTAATAGCTTTGGCCCATAGGAATTTCGGCAGTTCTTTTGCCAGTAACATGGCCCGTGCATGTTCGACCAATGTTCGATTTAGGTGTTCGGCTACGCCGTTTTGCTGCGGAGAGTCATGTACTGTGAGTTCTCTTGTTATTCCTTGTTTCTTCAAGTACTCATCGAATTCATTGCTCATATATTCTCCTCCGTGATCGGATCGAACTTTGTGCAGGCGCGCTCCGCGTTGTCTGCTGACGTAAGCTTCGTACTGTCTGAACGCGGTGAGTGCGTCACTCTTCTTCTTCAAGAACGTTATCTTTGTTTCCCAGCTATAGTCATCAGTGAAACTGATGTAATATAGGCATCCGCTGATTGTTGCTGTCTGCGCAGGTCCCCACAAGTCCGTATGCACGAGTTCTCCGTAAGTCTTTGCATGATTCTTTGTTTCCTTTGGGAACTGCTGACGCGATGCCTTTGCTTGTGCACAGGTCTCGCAATATTCCGGTTTCGAGTTTAGATCTAACTCTATTCCTCTGACCATTTCCTTCTTTACAGCTTTGAGTATCGCTTCCTGCGAGACGTGTCCTAGGATGCGATGGGCTTCGAAAATGGTATGTCTCGTTCTGGCTGCGTTTGCGCTATGTGTTGCTGATGTGACATGATAGAGACCTTCTATTTGTGGTATAGCAGCTATGATCCTTCGTTCGGGTGCAGGTGACTTTATTTTGCAGAGCATATCCTCGAACAGGATTGAAAACCCCGCCGCTGCGATTCTGTTGGTGGATATGAGGGTGAACGCCATATTGGGGGTGTAGAGAACATTCTTGAGGGTAATGTTCGTTTTCTTGTCTCCCAGAGGCAGATCTATGCTAACATCTCCTTGTCCTATGGCTTTGATGACAGATCCATCTGCGGTGTGTACATCTTGGGCTTCGATTGATGCAAAGGTCACGAATTTGGAGCAGTCTGGGCAAAAATGGGAGGTTGCTCCTGAATCAATGATAGCACCACGCTTCTCGACAGGTACGTTCAGTTGCTTTGCTATTGCAACCATGTCTGACGAAGCAAAAGCATATTCATTTGATCTCTCGCTTTCGGCCGCTGTATTTGCACCTTGCTTGTGTGTTTTTCCTCCTTGTTTCGGCCCTTGTCCTTCCTTCCCGCCTCCCGGCCTCCAACAGTCTGATTTGTAATGACCTTTTCGGTCACAATTATAGCATGTTATGTCTGGGTTTGCGCTGTTTGCGCGAATCTTCTTCACACCAACTCTGGCCGAGAACGCACCATTGCCTCCCTTCTTCGAGGTCCTGCGGTTCGACAACTGTCGATGTTCATATTCTTCGGATACAACATTGATTAATTCGTTTGGCGTGAGTGGTGTTTTTGATATTCTGGATGCAGCGTTGATAGAGGATAGTAGGGGCCTGTATGACTCTGGTAACGAGCCCATGATGATTGCTGAAAAGTCCTTGTCAGCAATCGAAGTTCCCATTCCGGCAAGGGATTCGCGAAGTCTAAGCTGCTCATCAAAATGGCTTTTGACATCTCCGCCCTCTTTGCATCTCGCATCCTGGAGCCGTCGTCGCAAATCTATTTGCACAAGCTCCGTCTTTCCTTCGTGTAGTACTCGGATCTCCTCCCATATCTCTGATGCCGAGTCTAGCTTCTGGACCTGCAGCAATAGTCTGTCCGATATGGTACTGAATATGTGCTGTCGGGTAAGTGAGTCCTTCTGGAGGTATTCATCTATCTTCTCCTCTAGTTCCTCTACCTCTTTCTCGCTTGCCTTGCTTCCATCTGGCTTGATAAAGTCTCCGGCTGTGTCTTTCGAGTATCAGGTAGGTTCTTTCTTCCGACCTTCAAGATATCGCATCAAACCTCATGCGCAAATCACTGTTAACGCTCTTTCCTTATAGGTGATCCAATTCGAGCCATTGTCGGCAAGTTTTGGGATGGTGTACAGCGATGAGTTTCCAGGGAGCGTAGTATCCATGAATGTCGAGTCAGGGCTCATAACCTGTAGAAGTATGTAGACTTTAGAATAGGAGTTATGAATATTATTTGGACTGACTTTTATTCTAAATATCACTACAGTATATATACTATGGTATGCTAATTGTAAGTATCCGGTCCGTGTATGTGTAAGTGCGGACTTGTCTATGGTCCGCGCTATTGCTGACAAAATAATGTCCGTCTCGGACATTACCGGCTATTAGTCGTTCCCTACATCATTCATTCTTGTACGTATTACTAAGCTTTCTCTCCTGTGCTCGTACCTTCATTACTATGCGCTAACTCTAACACAGCACATGTCAGCAACTGCTGATGTGGCTCAGATGAATACGGACGATGGATGAGAGCAGGAGAAGGGAAGAAGACAAGGAGGAGAATGAGAATGAGAGAGAGGAGACGGACGATTGGTAGCACTCGAGTGCTTCGATTCTGCACGCCTGGAAGAGTAAGCGCTGAATACTATAACTCGCATACCTGAAGTAGTCGAAGAGGGATGTATTTCGAACGGTTGATGAACCACTCGCTGACTTTGGATCCAATTGTAGGTTGGGCGCCTAGTAACTAGGTAGAGACAGGCACCTTGGATGCTTTGATTGATATATGGCCGAGTTCTTCATCAGAGTCATCCATCTCAACATCGTTTTCTTGCTGAGTACAGAAGTAAGTATCGGATCCACCATGGTCAAGCTGAGAAATTTGTACCTCCCCATTTTCTTGATCCATGACTGGGCTCGGTAGCATCGCTTGAATCTTTTTCCTTGAGTCGTAGGTGTTCAACTGCTTCCTGGTTCATTCCGAGGACGTTTGAATAAGGAATGAGAATGGGTTGAGAGATGAACGATACCACTTACCGATGGCCAAAACCAAAAGTGAAAGACTTGAGATCACCGTGCATATGACCTGCATCGTCAATCCAACGCTGAGGATTAAACTTGTGTGGTTCTGGGAAGACCTCGGAATCATTTGCGATAACCCTGAAGCACAAGCATCAGACACGAAGGTCAGAGGACGAAGATGATTGCCTACTGACCAATGGTTGCTGACGAGGCATTGACGCCCTTGATGCTGCATGAGACAATACTTGAGTGCTATCTGAAAACAAACATTGTATCTTGGAATTCATAGTGGCATAAGATCTTACTTACTAAGTTAGTGTTTGAACATGAATTTGTGATGGTGCAATCCTGTGTCACAGCGCATCACGACCGCGGCAGGCACGAAGGACCGCGTCAATCTCACCCGATGGCCCAAACCTGTGGTTCCAGACACATGCCTTTGCATATATTGACATGTAGTAAATACTTACATATTTTTAAAAAAGTGTGAAGCTGACAAAATTTGAGAGGTTCAAACAGGTTCGAACCTATTCACTACCAGCCTGAACCCCAAACCTCCAGAAAGGTTCAGTTCTGAGTCTTGGCCGAACCTTGGACCGGACCATGCGTCCAGTTCGGAAAGGTTCAGGTTTGAACCGAGGTTCGGAACCAGACTATGGCAGCACTAAAGACAACAACGTACCATGACATTGATGGGGGACATAAAGCCACAGCCTGAGCTGCCGGCTCAGGCTTTTCAACATGTCAAGCCAGTGTCAAGAGTTGATTCTGTGTAGGCGCTACAAAAGTGTTACCTTCAGAACTCAATGTGCAAGTGTAATGCTTGTCCCAAAGAGACTGCCTATAGAAAGACTCCTTGATATAAATGCAAGGGATATCTAGTTAAGATCGAGAGTAAGAGAGAAGAATGTTACCAAGAGTGCGTTCAGCATTCCGAAGATGTGTCTGAAGTACCAAAGTACTCGTCTGATGAGATCCGAAGGTGGTCTGACGTCAAGAAACAAAGGTCCGAGGTTGTGCAAAGCATCCGAAGAGCTTCCGATGAACAGCGAAGGTTCCGAGGTAGAAGTATGGTGGGTATGTCGAAGTATAAGACTTGCAAAGTATGACTAGGCAAAGTCTATCGAAAGAACTTAGAGACAGTGAGATGTGAAATGACAGCAGTCAGGCCAAACAATCATTCCGAATGAACAAGAAAGATTGATTGTGCGAAGTACGACTATCCAAAAGTGACTCTACTAACTATGACTTGTAGCAGGGAAAGTGAAGTGAAGTGCAAGTAGCTAGCGAGGCAGATTATATCCTACAGCGTGAAAGTCTGGAAATTGTGTAGGCGAAAACAGTAGCGAGATAAGCTATCCGAAATGCAATAAGACTCAAGGCGAGCTGCTACAGAGATATGCATGTAATAGTGCACAAGGCGCGCAGCTATACATATTAACCAATGATTTCGATGGGCTGACAATGTATGTGCCCCTAAGACATAATCAATAACAGATGAACAAGTGAAAAACGCACCAGCGAAGTCAAACGGACACGGACGGGACATGGTACAGAAGATCGGAAGTGTATACAGGTCTCGGAAGGGGACGGACGACCTTCGGACGACTTGGATGAACGCACAGAACTCTCAGAAGGTAAGAGGAGTGTCGAGGAGTATAATGTGAGATACCTATGAGTTTGGCAGGATACGAGCCCAACACTGATCCAAGTGCTACACTGGGCCCTGGGCTGTGGTCAGGCCCTGACTTGGGCCCAGCTCAGCTCAGCCTAATCAGGCTCAGCTTAGGCCAGCCCACGGCCTGAAGCCAGGCTGTGCACATCACTAGTCAAGCTTTACCTGACTTAAAATTTGTATAATATCTATCAAAATGGTAGTTCACTAGAAAATGCTTTATATACCTGGAGTAAGTTGGATGGAAACTGCCAAAAGCACAATCATGATAGTCAGCCTGCAATTACTTGCCATTTCTCACCAATCTGGCAAATATTGCCAACACTTGGCAGCCATGACAAAGTTTGATAATGTTGGGTGGCTTCAAACAAAAGCTAGAATTCTTTGACCTTTGTACACATATTTCATTCCAAAAAAATTCATTTTGTAATTAAACAAACAAGAGGTAAGTACATATATACATATATACATATGTAACACAACAAAAGATGAAAAAAAGCAAAAAAAAAAACAAGTATAAGAGGGAGCAACTAAACAGCAAGAATTTCTGAGAGTGAATGTGGCACTGGCAGATTTGTCAAAATATGTTGAAGTGTTGAAGTGACTATAAGACTAGCAAGAGTACTGAAGTACAACTATGCAAAGCCTACCCAAGAACTCAAAGAAGGCAAGATGTGAAATGGCAGCGGTAAGGCCAAATAATCATTCCAAATGAACAAAAGATCAATTGCATGAAGTGTGACTATCTAAGAGTGACTCTACTAACTATGATTCATAGCAAGGGAAGTGAAGTAAAGAACAAGATAGCTGGCAAGCAAGATTATATCCTATAATGTGAAAGTCTGGAATGCATAGGTGAGAATAGTAGTGAGATAAGCAACCCAAAAATGTAATAAGACTAGAGGCAAGCTGCTACACAGATATGCATGTAATAACACTGTAGCACTCGGCCTCGCACTAGGCTCATATTCATTTGTTTTCCAATACACATCAAATACCCATTGCACATGAACCACTTCCTGATGATATCCGACATAACCTGATGTAATCCGATACTTTGACTAGCAGACCCAACATTTTGGCTGCATCGGCCGACTTGAAATCCTGTACACTTGCCCTCCCTGTGTCCTGTCCCGTGTTGCTAGCCCCACTAGGTGCGTAGTTGTTTATTTTGCATGTTACTCATGCCATAGCCAACACTATTATATGTTTTCTCATCGTCTGCAGTACCTCATGTTGTTTTACATGTATTTTGGACCCAAAATATTCTGATACTACTTTGCCTATAGGTTTCCAGATTCCTTTTAACATGACAGGAATATATGTTCTGATTTCATCTTTAGAAATACTTCTTCTACATCCACATAATTCAATAGGATCAAAAATCTGTTGTTTGGATCTAAGCCCCTGTACTTTGGCTTGAACCCTTCATTCTTTTTGCTTTGCATGGTCAACCACCCTGTGAACCACCTCAGCACACCCACCAAACATCTGGCTTCTTCTGGTTTGACTGTTAAGGCTATCTTCTTGCCTTGTTCTGTCATCAACCAAAACTCAAACCATTTTGGAGGTTTATTTTGTTTTGCCTCAAGTTCCCTTTCAAATTTCTTGCTGGCATCTGTGGTAAGCCACTCACTAAACCACTTTGGCAGAACAGACTGTTTTTCTATAAGAATCTACTTTTGGCAGTTCTTGGCCATGTGGCCCTTTTCTCCACACTTGTGACATTTAAACTCATGGCTGAAACTGCATTTTTCACTGTAGTAACAATTGTCTTTGAATTTAAAATACTTGCACAGTATTTGAGAGATATATGACATAGTGCCAGTTGTTTTCTGGAACCCACTTCACTAATGTCAGTGAGAAGCTACTCATAAGGGCTCCTCCAGATAGGAATGATGATGAAAATAGAATATGAGAAAAGTCTACATAAAAGGAAAACTGAGTGGTCCCCAATATCTGATTAGATCTACCATAGGCTCAGGGTCATGGGTTTCTGGTAATATCCCACACTGACTCTTCCCTTATATACTGACTAAAAAAGATGTTGGAATCTATACTCTGATATTGGCCCAACATGAGGCCAAGTGCTACATCATGCACACTTGTCCTACCTATGTCCAGTCCTGTCATGCTAGCCCTACTAGGTGCATAGTTATTTGTTTTCACATCACTAACATTGTAGGACCATGTATTCTCATAGTCCATAGCACCTCTTATTACATAGGACATCAGACCCAAAATATTGCACTACTACTTTCACCTATAGGTTTCTGGATTTCTATGTATCTACATAAATATTGGACTCCCCATAGCATCATTCATCATCCAAGTAGAGGAGAGCTGTTCTCCAATGCTTAGGGGTCAAACCTGATATTTCATAGTTCTTAGTTTACATTGCAAATATCATCATTCCTTCATCATCCACACCCATTCCCATTATTATTATGCATACTGCTTGCTTTCTGACACTTACTATTGTGTCATTATTAGTTTCTAATACTCTGGACCCAAACCCAAAGCCCAACCAAACAGACCTGATGCTTTTGCATCAGACCTTGTAATTATACCTTTGAACATTGTTTCCTACACTTGGACTATTGACCCCACATTACTCACTGACCCCCAAGACTATTCCCAGACCACAGACCGCTAGGTCAAACACACTTGTCTCATCCAAGTATAGACTAGGCAGTGCAAGACCACAACATAAAGATATCAGTTTGGAGCCATCTTCATATAGCCCCACTCTGTGTTGTATACCTACACTATTTGACTTCACTGGTGCATTTTTCACTTCATCTGTCATTGATTGAATATGTCATAGGAACAGATACATCAGTGACCTATCAGGAGCCTTGTTTACTCAAATAATATGTATAGCAGCACACCTCATGCATTGTAGGAATACAACAATTGCTGGACACTACATATAGTAAGTATCCAGCAAAATATAAAATGTGTTGTGGTCTTGCACAGCCTAGTCTGCTATACTTGCAAGACAAATGCATTTGACCTGAGAGGTTTGCTGTTTGGAATAGGTCTCAAGTTAGTGAAAAGATAAATAGCCAAAAGTCCGAGTGTAGGAAACAATATCCAAAGGTATAACTATGATGTCTGATGCCAAAGCATTGTGTCCAATGTTTTTGGGTTTAGCAGGTTAGCAGTGTAGCACTCGAGCTCGCACTAGGCTCATATTCTGCTATTTTCCAATGCATGTCAAACACCCGAATCACTTCCCAATGTTATCCGACACTTACCTGCTCAATCTGATGTTTATCCACTTATCCGACACTTATCTGATGTAATCCGATGCTAACCCAATGAAAATATCCTCCCTATGTCATGTCCTGTCATATCTATCCCCACTAGGTGCGCAGTTACTTGTTCTCACATCACTAACATCATAGAACACATTATTACATGTCTGCAGTACCACATGTCTTATTACATAGGACATCGGACCTGAAAATTATTGCTACTACCTTCGCCTATAGCACTCCAAAATTCTACATAGACACTATATGTTTCACATACCTCCTACCTATTACTTTACTTACCTTTCTACTTCCAAGTAGGAGAAGGTCATCCAATATTTAGTAGTTCTTAGCTGAATTCTGCAAATATCATCCTTTCTTTATCTGAAACACTCCAAAACATCCGACATTTGCTATCCCCAACATTCACTACATTCCCAATGCTAACCCAATGCAACCCGAGGTAACCCACTAACTCAAAAACATCAGACCCAATGCTTTGACATTGGACTCATAATTCTACCTTCAGGCTTTGTTTCCTGCACTCGGACTATCTTCCTTTTCATATAACTAATTATTCTAAATACCAAACAGCAAACCCCTCGGGTCGAATGCACTTGTCTCGCAAGTATAGCAGACTAGGCTGTGCAAGACCACAACATTATTATATTGCTGGTTGCTTACTGCATGTTGTGACCAGCAATTGTTGTATCTCTACAGCAGGTTTTGGGTTTTGGGTTCAGTGAATTGTGGGAAATAGCAATAGGGAATGTTGGGAAAGTGAGTGGGTTGTGCAAGGATAATGATGACAGTGTGAAGAGTTGATTCTGTGTAGGTGCTACAAAAGTTGTTACTTCCACAAGTCTTATACTTCGACATACCCGCCATATTTCACTCTCAGAACCTTCGCTATTCACCAGAAGCTCATTGGATGCTTCACGCAACCTTGGACCCTTGTTTCTTGACTTCAGACCACTTTTGTTCACATTGAACAAATACTTCATGAGGTACTGAAGTATGACTAAGCAAAGCCTATCGAAAGAACTCAAAGACAGCGAGATGCAAAATGGCAGCGGTCAAGCCAAACAATCATTCTGAATGAACAAAGAGGATCAATTGCGTGAAGTACAACTATCCAAAAGTGACTCTACTAACTATGACTCGTAGCAAAGGAAGTGAAGTGAAGTGTGAGTAATTAGCAAGCCAGATTATATCCTACAGCATGAAAGTTTGGAAACTGCATAGGTAAAAGCAGTAGCAAGATAAGCTATCTGAAATGCAATAAGACTCGAGGCAAGCCACTACACAGATATGCATGTAATAATGCGCGAGGCGTGCTGCTATACGTATTGATCAAGCTTTTGACGGGCTGACAACATATGTGCCCCTAAGGCATTCTCAATAATAGACAAACAAAGTGAAAAACATACCAGCAAAGTCAAACGGACATGGACGGGACATGGTACAGAGGGTCACAAGTGGAAATAGGCTTCAGAAACAGACAGATGACCTTCAGACAACTTGGATGAACATGTGGAGCTTTTGGAAGATAAGAGGGGCATTGAGGAGTGCAATATGAGTCATCTGTGAGATTGGCAGGATTTGTGCCCAGCACCAATCCAAGTGCTACAACAGGTATTTTGGATAGAAAGAGCAGTAATATTTGCAATATCAACTAAGAAACTACAAAATATCAGGTTTGATCCTAAAGCATCAGGAAATGGCTCCCTAATACTTGGATGATGTATAATGTGATGGGGAGTGCAATATATATGTAGTACATAGAAAGAACCAGCAAGCAGAGGTCAAGGCACTGGTAGATTGTGGTACTTCAACACTATTTATAGACAAGAAGTTTATAGAAAAGAAGGGTATCTGTTGTCATAAATTAATGAGACTGATTCCTGTTAAAAATATTGATGGCTTGCTAAATGCTGCTGGATTAATGACACACTTCGCTGAACTAGGTCTAAAGATTGGAAATCATGTTGAAGACAAGACAGTATTCATGGTTACAGACCTCAGCAGTGATGAAGTAATTATTGGCATAGACTGGTTAAGATATCATAATCCAGACTCAGAGGTAGATTAGTACGCAGGGTGTTTCTCTCTCACCTGCCCTATTAAGTGTATGACAAAGAAGGAAAAAAGATTATTTAATAAAGAAAACAGGAGAAATATAAGAGGCACTTTGCCTGATCTGATTCCCATAGAAGAGGATGACAAAGAAGACCTGACAAAGAACAGGGCAATGGTTGAGGTAACAGAAGATGAAGAGAATCCAACAGAGTGGATCAGATATAAAGCCTCAGTTGCCATGGAGCAGAAGGTTGCAGAAGAAGCAACAAAGGTGAAAAAATCTTCTGATTGGTACAGTATTTTTAACTGTTCACACAATGTTCAGAAGATAGGAAACGGGTCTCCTTCGGGATCCCATGGTACGATTCTTGTAATTCTATTTTCACAAAACTAACATTAGACAATAACATCTAATGATGACTAATGATCTTCATCCTCTCTATTTAAACAATGAAAACTTGCTGATGAGCTTTAGCAAAACTTTCCCCTTCTTGCAGTAGTAAGAGGGACCTTTCAACTTTTCAACTTTTCTCAGCAACACTAACAAGATTAACACTATGTTGGTAACATCCAGCCCCCCATCGCTCGGCACCTCGCTCGAGGGGGGCCTCCCCAGTGAAAAAATCAGTTAAAGAAATGGTTTCTGATTGGCTTCATGAGTACCTGGGAGTATTCTCAGAAGAAGAATCTAAGCGCTTCCCTGAAAAAATGAAATGAAATCATGCAATAGATCTTAAAGATGATGTCAATCTTCTGCCAAATGTGAAACCATACCTGTTATTACCCAAAGAGATGGACACTTTGAAAGATTGGTTAAAAGCTGAAACTGCACTGGGATGTATTAGAGATTCACAATCTCCAGTTACAGCACCTTTCTTCTTTGTGGCTAAAAAATTGCATGTTAAGACTGGTGATAAACCATAGAAAGCTCAATGAGAAGATGGTTAAAAACCATTACCGAGATCCCAAGATCTAATTGATGCTCTAACTGGTGCCATGATGTACTCCAACATGGATGCATGATGAAAGTATAATAGCATTCATATGAAAGAAGGAGATGAGTGGAAGGCCACCTTCAAAACACTGTTTGATCACCACAAACCAACCATAATGTATTTCAGTTTAATGAACTCTCCTGTCACATTCCAGACAATGATGAATGAGTGCCTTATCTTTCTCAGTAATTTTTCTTCTCCTTGTATCAGAGCTTGACCTCTTTTAGCAACTTTGACAGTGAAAAACATCAGTTTCAGCAAAATATGATTTGAATTGTTGTTTTCTACCCCTCCTCTGTGGTCTTCTCTTTGAGATAAATGATTAGCTTTGTCATTGACTACACCAGGCTTATGTTGGAGTGTAAATTCATACTCCACCAGGAATAAACACCATCTGGCTTGCCTTCTTGTCAATTTTTAACTTGTCATGAAATACTCAAGATTCTTATTATCTGTCCAGATCTCCACATGGTGAGGTTTTCCCTGCATATAGTGCCTCCACTCCTCTAATACTCAAATGATTGCTAACAACTCTTTGTTATGAATGTTATAATTATATTCTACATCATTCATTGACTTTGAGTAGTGAGCTATAGGATGCCACAAATCGTCTTCCATCAGTTGAGATAAAACTGCTCCTGTTGTATAATCAGAAGCATTAGTCTTTATTTTCATCTTTTTCTCAATATCAGGCATGACTAAGACTGGAGCTTCTGTGAATCACCTCTTTAATTCATCAAAGGCATTTTGTTGTTTCTCTGTCCAATCTCATTTGACATTTTTCCATAATAAATTATTTATCAGTCTAGTGATGTCTGAGAACCTGAGGATAAACCTCCTGTAGAAGTTGGCAAAGAATGCTTGTATATCTTTTATACATTTAGAAACAGGCCATTTCATTACTCCTTCTACCTTCACAGAGTCTATAGATAGATACACCACACTTCTCCATGATTGACATTAGCTTATTATAAGGCCCAGCAGGTCAGTATACTACTAGAGATCTAGCACTAACCTAATAAGAATCTGAATAGACATACAATATGTAAATATGCACAAAGCCTAATGTATTTAGGTTCATGCTAAGAAGATGACAAGATACTATGATTTCTAATGACCAAGAAAAGAAACTAGTGAGCTATTCTAGTGAGTGAGTGATTTAGACTAAATAAATACATTTCTGAAAAATATTTCAGTGATTGCAAATTAGAAACATACTTAATGCCTTCATCTTCTAAGTCTATTCTTTGGTAATACTATTGAATATTAAGCCAGACCTCCTGTCAACATGTATGTAATAGAGATAATTTATGAATACACATGCCTATACTCGACTAGTCTTCAGATATATCTTAACCACCTTACCATACCAGTATGACATTACTAGCAGACTTTCATCTCTTGTCGGAACTGCACATTTATCTATTAGATATATTGAGATGCTTCAAATGGTCCATAAAGATCAAGCTGAAAATATACAAACACATGCTTGCTCTTCCCCTACTTGAATAACCATCCTATCATCATTAATACAATCAGGGTCAATATTTGAATTGTAAACCCCTAATCATAAAAAGTCATGTAAGTTGACATTAGGAGTTGAATGACCACTGACAGGCTTCAAATTGAACATACATTCCAACAAGATATACTGCCTCAATGTGCAAAGCTTGGAATGAGTGCTTCACATGGAAGGTAACTTTTTCCTCCCATCTAGACATGATGCGCAGCTGGTGATTAATGGTCTGCTGGACATGATGATTGGCATAAAATTACAAATATGAAGAGGAAGGATGAGTGTCTAAATCCTCATTTATTTAGTGTTATTTTATTGCTAGACACATGTGCTGATATAGCAGACAGATTATGAAAAATTTGTGGTGAGACAAGGGAGCTGTCCTTACAGCATACACAGATGTGTTAGACTGTCCCATTGAGTAGATATAACTAACCTTCATATGACTTTCTTTGCCTGACAGAGAACTAAAAATAAATCAAAATCAGCAAACTGATATACTTGAATACCAAATTTACTGATGAACAGCAAATTGGCTTTCAAGAACATTAAATCTACTGATGAGTAATGACAGGACTATGATTATAACTCAGGCCATGTGAGTTATAATAGGAATGTCTTTACCACTAGACTATCCAACCATGCAGTGAAAAAATATATTTGTCTATTAATAATTATGGTTCAAATTTGTAGACTTGCCTGGCTTTAAATAAAACTTGATCCAGAGGTTATAGTCATGGTACCCCCTCCCCCTACCTGCTCCACCAAGAGTCATTATTTCATGTCAATACTGATGTACTAAAGGATGTTCATAGTATTTAATAATCATAAAAATAAATTGGAGATGGTTTCAGAGTGTTCTAAACCAATATGGAATGTGATGTGTGAGTTTACTCTCCCTCAAAGATTGATTTTTCTAGGCTTCACATAAATAGTAAAGTTCAATTTGTCAGAAAAAATCAGGTTGTTGAGATATGTTTGTTGCTACAAATGTCAACATTAATAATACATGAATCATATCACTTAGTGAGAGGTCTAGTTTTCTACTAATTGAAAGTAGAGAATGAAATGATCTATAGGTCTAACTTCAGTTTGAACTGTGTAAGGAGTGCCACCCTATCAATTACTTGATCTGGCTTAAACTGATTATTAGCACCATGAGCACGATAGTGTAGTTGTTTCATAGCCATGATGCAAAGGCTTAGTAATGATCTCTTGTAAAGCACTGACATTTGGATAAATGTTATCAAAACACATACTAAACATGAATACAGACTATTCCTCAGGGAGAGATATGGAAGTGCAATCACCATTCGATGCAATGTCTCTAATGCATGCTCCATATCTGGGTTGGTGGATGTCTTGGTGATCTCAGCATCAACATAGCGGAATAGTTCAGTTAGGTGTATACAGGAATAATAGTAAAAATGTCCTCCAGTGCAAAATGATGATACTGGTGTGTAAACCACATGTACAATTTCAGCACAAAAAATCCTTATCCACCTACATATCAGTGATAAATACAACAGATTTTACAGAACTTACAGCATATCTCCAGGATATAGCACAATAACCTTGCCATAATAGTTATTGTGAATCTATTCCTTATGCATGTTATAATCTGCAAGTCTAACAGAGAAATGCTAAAGTTGAATGTGATCACTACTGCTACTTTTTAAATAAAATATTGCCCAAAGCTTTATCCCACTTTCCATCCTGATCCAAGTCAATGTGCCTTCTGCATTGTGATGAGGATAAGATATAAACCCTGCATAGCTCAGCAGTCCCCATCCTTTTGAGGTAAAATTCTAGAGATGAATCTTACACCATTATGATGCTTGGAACCTCCCTGGGTAGCAAATAGGTCATTTCCATATATGTATCAAGGATTATAGAGCACTATGAGTTTTCTCCAGCACCTGGCATTCTGAAGATTAAAACCTTTGTATTCATCATGAGTGTACTTTGGGTAATACACTCACACATTACAACATGCTCCTAGATTGTCTGATGTTGAATTAGAGCTATTGGTGAAGTGTCTTACAGAGCCTGCCCTTAACTACACTAGGGATGCACATGTCAAATATCAATTGCTGTTCAAGAATATTTCCTGTTACATTGAACAACTGCAATGTCATTCAAATTGGACCTTGATCTCACTATTGGTGTCCTCAGAAAGAATGTTCTATGATTAAGCCCATGCATCATGTGGAGGAATGGGCATAAGACTGTTCTTCCAATAGTTTATAATAAATTCATGCTCAATATATGTGAGCATGTTGACATTTCGCTAGTCAAATACATGGCTAAATTAAATCCATCTGAATCCACCTCAAACCATGTTCTTCATCTTTCAGGCAACACACTTCACATTCTTGATGTCATGGGAATTGTTTCTAAAGCACTGTCAATCAACTGATGTGTCATTATTACTGGTATACCATACAACAAACCTCAAAATGAACTTACAACTGAATATCTCAAGGAACAATTCGGAATTTT